GGCGGGGGGCGGCTGGGCCGGGGCGCGGGGCGCGGGGCGCGGGCGCGGGCGCGGGTGCTGACGGCTCTCTCCCTTCTCCCGGCGCAGACCTGTCGCTGCTGCAGGAGGACCCGCCCGACGACGCCGACGGCTGTGAGTGCGGCCGGGGTGAGGCCGAGGTTGGGGGGAGGCCGCGTCCCGAGTGTGCGGACCGAGTGTGCGGGCCGCGTCGGAGCTGTGGCCTCGCTTGCGGTCGGCCCGGGTCTGAAGCCGCGTCGGAGCTGTGGCCTCGGCCGCGGTGTGGCCTCGACCCGGGGCCTGGGTCCACAGCCCGGGTACAATGGGCAGCGCAGTGTTCGGAACGCACCCGTCTCTAACACGCTAGCCTTGCACGCCTCTCAGAGATACTGAAGTTTTTAGAGTCAATTTTTTGATAGACTAAAAAAACCCAACTTTTTTCCCCGACCTTTCCATCCTGGTGATGGAAACGAATTTTAGAAAGGGATTTTTAATTTTGTACCTATTTTTCTAAGCATCAGAATAAGTGGGATTGATGACAGAAAAGACAAAGGAGCGTTAAGCAAGTGGGTAGGGAAAGAAGTCACATTTGGTGGCTAACGTAAAATCGTCCCTTTCGTGCTAAGGGTCCAGAACAGCGGCAGGGTAGGAGAATCACCGGGCTCTGAAACGCGTCTCAGGAGCACAGGTGTGCAAAGCGAATGCAGGGTGGATCGAGGAAGTAGGGAGGGGCGTAGGAATCCTGTGGGGCTGGATGCTGTCCGGGTAGAACCGCTGCCTGTTGGGGAAGTCTGCCAGAAGCTCAGGTGGGCCGGCTGAATACCTGTGGGGTGGAGTCAGAGAGGGCCGTGGATTGAGGTCGGTCTTGCGACCGCGTAGTTAATCCTTAACATTGTCTAGTGTGCTCCCCTTAACCAAAGTTAAACTTAATTTTAAAATGGTTGTTTTTGAGTAAAGGGAGGTTTACTATTTAGGAGGACTGTCTCTCCTTTTTGGGGGTGGGAGGCAGTACTGAGACTGAGGTTTGAATCCAGGGCCTGCACGTGCTAGCCAAGCACTCAACCACTGAGCTACCATCCTCAAATTTGCAGAGATCCTCCTGCCTCAGCCTCCAAGTGCTAGGATCATAGGCATGAGCCACCACACCTGTCTTCCTTCCAGTTTTATTGGCTTTCTTGCAAAGTTAGGATCTGAGATGGCTTGGATCCTGTTATCTCTAGTTGCAGGCTTCTTACTGTGTTTATGTTCAGAACTTTGTAAATGGAAGATCATGACTGACCCGAAGAACACCAGAGTGTTCCTCGGTTTCCAATTAGGGTTCTGTACCCTGAAGGCAAGACAGTGCAGTGTGTTCAGTGGCCCCTGGGAGCACAGTCTGAGGCGGAAGGCCGGCCTGGACAGCGTTCAGCAGTGAGCTTCCAGAGTGCCTGGCCTGGGGATATGGCTGTGAGGAGGCCACGCGCAGCCCGCGCCCTCTAGTGGTGTGCACACAGTTTTAGTACCGTGCTGCGGGCACCAGGGGCTCTGTGGCACCACAGTGAACAGCACAGACTCCAGCCAGGCGACATTGCTTCAGTCTTGGCAGTGTCTCTTTGGGCAAACTTGGGCCTCTCTTCTCAATGCCTGCATTTGTCATTTGTAAATAGGCTTAGTATTATTGGCTTTACTCTGGTTCAGGGCTTTACGTGAATGAATGGATATGAGACTCCGTACAATACCTGGCCGGGAGTGATTGCTGTTCTGGGTAAGGAGTGAGGGTGACAAACAAAAAACAGAGGTGGTACTGATGTTGAGCTTTACACCCCAGCATTGATGTACTCGGAAATGCTGCTGGTACTCGGAATTTAACTTTTTTTGACTGTTCCCTGTTCACGTTAATGTAGGATAAAATCTTAGACATTTGAAGGTGCCACAGTAGCTGCTGATGTTTCTCAGTTGCTAAGGTTTCTACCCAGAATATTCAGGGATAGAGGGTCTCTGAACATACGTTCAAAGTTGAAGGACCACTTGGCATCTTTTGTGAAGGGAGAATGAATGAGGCAGAAATCTGGTCATGGTGACTACATACAGGCCAAGATGGTTGCTAAGGGTTTTTGTCACATCCTAAAGAAGGTGGAGAAAGTCTAGGGCGTGAGGTTGTAGAGAGAATGGAGTGCAGGCTGCCTTTAGGACTAGGTGGTAGCTTAGGAACAGAAATCTCTACACCTCATCTTCCCACTCTGCCAGGCTAGGTCCCAGCCAGCCCTTGGGGTGGGAGGAGGTTACTTTCTGGTCAACCCTGCAACCTGATTGCCTTTCTTGAATGAAGACCCTAACTGGTGACAAGAGAGTCATGTGCAGCTATGGCGGCAGGAGAGGGTGCAGGTAGGCTCCAGGTCTTGGAACAGGGACAGCGCCAGACCTTAGTATGAGTCTTGGGTCTTTTGTTTTGGTTTGTTTCAAGCCCCAGAGTGTCTGTGCAGAGTCAGTAGAGTTAGGGAAAGGGTTAGTCAGAGACTGACTTGGCTGATAACTTTCAGAGAGGAAAACAAAATAATCATAATACATGAGAAATGAATGTATTGGATTATATATCAGAAGGTCATAAAGAGAAGTAAAAATCATTAAGTACTATTCAAATGAAGTTTAGGAGAATAATACAATAGTTTTAAAGTTTAGAAGTCATATTTTCAGTAGTGTATCATAAAATTTATGTTGGATTTCACAGTGAAAGCAAACCAGGATTCCCTTTGAATAGAGGTTTCAACAGATTCAGAGTTGGATAAAAATCCATTTGAATTTTTATGACTTATTCTATTCCTTGAATAATGGGAGGCAGTACAAAATTATAGACTTCTAGGGAAAGTTATTTCAGGTTTCCATTGTAAGTATTCCAAAGATGTAACTTTGATTTTCTTTGAAGTTGCTAGATTTCTAAGATGAGTGAGATAGCAATTAAAATACAGTAAGATTTCATGAGATAATACTTAGAAAAATAATTGCATTGAAAGAGTTTGACTAAAATTTAAACTTTTATCATAGTAACATATTGAAGCCTGCTATTAACATGGAATAGTTTAAAGTGAATTTGATACACACATTTTTCTTCCCAGTGGTCCTGTGATGTGTAGACTGTGGCATTGTGATACTGATAAATAACTCAATTGATGCCCAAAGGGAGTAAAATATTTTCTTAAGGAACACAACCCTTAAGTACAGACAGAATTTTAAGCTAGGCTTTCTGATTGTAAATATTGTCTCTTCTTAAGTTGCCTAGTTTTCAGCATTGAACAGCCCAGACTTGTAGACAGTGTATTGAAGCCATGTTTAAAATATATTTGAAAATGAATGCAGAATGCTGTGTGTGTTTTAATTTTATGGAGAGGGTACAGGGGATGGAACTTGGGTATAATATAGCTTATTCTGTGTTCACCAAGCATGATGTTGAAGAGCTTGTGAAACCGTATGACGGCATATACCATGATGCAGGTTTCTTCATTGTTGAAGTTTTGGAATGTAAAAGGGGTGACTGTTTTCCAGACTTGAGGGCAGTGTTGAAGCAACATGTGGAAATGAAGGCTCTAGAACTTGCCCTGGCTGCACCTCTCTCTGTCCCATAGCTTTGGAAAACCAGTCCTGGTCCCTGGGGAGGTGAGGCGCAGAACACAGGGGCCATGTCCATTAGCAGCTAGTGAATCATTAGGAAATCCTCAGAAGGTGCCCTTGAACATGATGCTATTCAGATATTATTCAACAGAGATTGAGAATGTGAGTCATGAGACATGGTAACATGTTTCGATTGCTACCAACAAGACTGGACAGGAGAAATCCTTAAAAAAGAGTATTTTAAAAATGGATTTAGTCTACCCATCTGTGTATAGAATCAATCACAGGGCAAACAGTTCCTTACATAGAATCTTAAAAAGGAAAACGGGAAATCTCTTTGTAGCTCTGCATGGGCTTATAGCTGCATGAAATACAACAAATGAAACAAAAAAGAACACCAAAACTAAATCATAGTTTTGTTTGTTCTTGCCTGTCAAAGATAAACAGACCTTGCTAGGTAAAGTTCAGAAGTTGGTCACTGGTTTGTTATTTCTGGTCCTTTGCCTCAGTCTTTCCAAATCCATTCCCTGACTGCTGTGGGGCTCTAAGAAACTAAGATGACTGACAAATTAGAGCCAGGTCTGAGGAGGAAGAACCTAAGGTGATCTGCCAGCTCAAACAAAGATCTGTGCTAAAAGCAAGGCAAGGCTTGTAGAGGTGACAGGGAATCCAGGTTTTTAACATCCAGGGCCTGAGTCCCAGAGGCATGTCACCCACTTTGTGCCTAAGACATCAAATAAGGTGGCATTTTTTGTGTGTGGCTTGAATTTGCATTTCATTAATGCAATAATGTTCTTCTGTTTGTGTGTTCACTTACTGTCTTCTTTGGTGAAGTTGCCCGTCTTTTTGTTGGATTATTTTCTTTCTTTCTTTTTTTTTTTGGTACCGGAAATTGAACTCGGGTCCTTTCGCTTGCAAAGCAGGCAGTGAAACCCACTGAGCTAAATCCCTGGCCTGGCCTGTTGGATTATTTTGTTAGTAAATTTGGAGAGTTCTTTGTAATTCCAGGTACAGGTCCTTTCTCAAGTATGTGGTTTGAAGATATTTTCTAGTATATGGTTTTTTGCTGTCTTAATGGCCCTCAAGAGAGCTGAAGTTTTGAATTGTGATTTTTATCATTTCCTCATAGATATGAGGAAATTAGCAGGTTGAGTAAGTTCCTTGAGTTTCTAAGAACTTTTGAGAAATTAGGAATTGCTGTTGAATTTTTGTCAAGTACTTTTTCTGTGTTTGTTGAGAAGATTGTGTTTATTTACTTATCTTTGGTTTTTCAATAGGATGAGTTACATTGATTTACATAATAAATGCTGTTAGTTTGGGGGGACTTCAAACATACACAAAAGCAGATGAATCACCATGTACCCTTCTCTTTGTGTCAACTTAACCCCACCCCTCTTCTACATGTGAACTTGGAGGAGAAAGAACAGGTAGCTGGCCAGGGTCCTCACCTGAAGAGACTATTCCAAAATGTTACTGAGATCTGAGTCAATACTCAAAGCCAGACTCATGTAGATCATTTTTACATTTAAATACATTAAATTAGTTGTGGG